GACGTCTGCCACCGCCTCCGCCTCCTCCGCCTCCTCCTCCTCCTCCTCCTCCTCCTCCTCCTCCTCCTCCTCCTCCTGCTCCTCCTCCTCCTCTCCTTCTGGTCAGATAAATCACAGAGACAGTATGTTGGCGTCGCACTTCTGCTCCAGTGTGTTGGTGATTCCTCTGAACCAGGATCAGCAGGTAGATTAAAACCATGTCCTGGAACTGAGACGGTCAGGTTTATGGAGGGGGAACCAGAGGTTTAACACCATCAAACCAAACAACCCCATCTGCCCTGCCCTGGTGTAGAAGGGCGTGTCATGTTTAACCATCTGCTGCCAACATGGACTGTACATAAGAAGTGGTCTGAGCTGCACACTGTTGGTACAGGGGTCATGACCTCTTGTAGTTGTTGTTGTTGTTGTTGTTGTTATTGTAGTAGTATTTGTTGTTGTTGTTCTTATTGTTGTTATTCTAACTTCTTCTTCAGTAGAACATGACGTCTGTCATGTCAGTGACAGTTAACCTTTGTCATGTGACCAGGAGTGACCAATCATATTCAGCCTCCTGTACGTTGTCCTCTCTCGGTGTAGAGTCGTCCCTGTGACCGACCATCACTAGATCCATAAATGTAGACTTAGATACAACAACGCCACTCTTCTTCACTGTGCTCTTCCACAGCTTCCCTGTGGGGGCAGCAGAGCTCACTCTGGTTTTTATTCGGTGTCGTCTGTGGAGGCGACTCTGGGCCTGGACGCTGCATGTGTCTGCATGCAGCGTCCAGGCTGGGAGTAGGAGGAGACGCACAATAGGAGTGTTGAAACAGTAGAGGAGTTTGTCTGTGTGTGTGTGTTACCTGGGATGTGTGTAAGGAGCGGTGACGGGGGAGGGGTGGGTGAACAAACTCTCTGAGTCAACACCATTCCTGAGAAACACACTCACTCTGTGGAGGGTTTAGAACCAGTCCAACACAGGTGAGTCAAAACCTGGACCAGTACTAGTCTGGTTACACACAAATAAAGGTGTGTGTGCGTGTGCTGACTTGTGTGTGTGTGTGTGTGTTCACCTGGATATTTCCCCTGATCTTTTTTTTTTTTCTTCCCTGAGTTCCAAACTTCCTTATCTGTGACATCATCGTCTGATGTCATCATCTTCATCGTCATCATCACAAAGCTCTCTCACCTGCTGTCTGGACCAATCAAGACGCAGGGCCTAGAAGACACTGCTCCTCCTCACACCTCCTCCTGATGGAGGACAAATGATTCCTTTTCTTGAACATGTGATTGTTAACAACTCCTTTCTCTGTCCCAGACACTGCTTCCCCTCTGTCTTCTCTGTCCCCTCTGTCCCCTGGTCCACAGCTTCTCAGCACTGCACCATGCTGCTCTGACAGGAACCACGGAGCTGCTGTCTCTGCTGTTGGACACTCAGGCCACGGTGGACATCAAGGACATCAATGGTAGACCACCGGCAGACTCAGACTGTCTCCAAAGCTGAGCAGATGAAAAATGAATAAATATTTATTCATCTGAAATACATGTACAATATATCCTGTCTCTGAGTCCTGTCTCTGAGTCCTGTCTCCGTGTCTCAGGGATGCGTCCTCTCCACTATGCAGCCTGGCAGGGTAAAGCTGACTCTGTCCTGTTGTTACTCAGAGCCAACGCTTCAGTCAACTCTCCTTCTCATGATGGACAGATTCCTTTACATCTGTCAGCACAGTATGGACATTATGAGGTGGTGAGTACACACACACACACACACACACACACACACACACACACACAAAGATCTCCTGCCAAAGGCTAATTCTCACGTCCGTGTCCGTCCTCACATTTCACTGAATTCGACCTGCATTTGTGTCTTTGTCTCCGTCTTCATTGTCCAGTCAACAATACCATTAACACATACAAACACACACACACAAACACACACACACACACATTCCTGTTCTGCAGTCTCAACAGTAGATCTGCTGGAATGTTCTAATGGATAAACACCCACATCTGTGTGTGTGTGTTTCTGACTGTCACCTCCGTCTGTCTGTGTGACCTGTCAGTCTGAGATGCTGCTGCAGCATCAGTCCAACCCCTGTCTGAGGAACAAGGCCAAGAAGACGCCCCTGGACCTGGCCTGTGAGTTTGGAAGAGTGAAGGTACGAGCAACGTGTGTGTGTGAGTGTGTGTGAGTGTGTGTGAGTGCACTTTCACTTCTTTGCTGGACCCTCAGCTGATGTAACTGTCTCTTCTGTTGTCTGTCTGTAGGTGGCGCAGCTGCTTCTGAGCAGCAACATGGTGACGGCTCTCCTGGAAGGAGACGCAGGTCACGACAGTCTGGACTCTCCGTCCACCACTCCGCTGCACCTGGCTGCAAGAAACGGACACAGAGACATCATCAGGTCAGAACCCCGTGGTGTGTTCGCTGTCGGCGTGTTTTTATCTGCTCTCTTTGACAGATCATACACTGCATATATATTTCTCCCTAAACGTTCCCCCTGGAACCTACAGCTGGGGTTCTGCTCAGTAGGATCTCTGGATGTTGTTGAAGTTCCAGCTGCAGATGGTTCAGTAGAACATGAAGCTGATGAGAACCAGCTGCACCTCCCTGAAGATCTCCTGCTCTGCTCTGGAGATAAACTGATGGAAAACTGTTGTGGTGTAAATATGTGTGAACTCCACCCTGCTCCTCCTCCCCTGACCAGCTGCTGCTCCTCCCAGAACCTCCTCCATCTAGGCTCTGGTTCTCAACAGATTTTTCCAAAGTAAAAATGTTGTTGTGACAATACTCCATGTTCTGTTTTCCTCTTCTTCCCTCCTCCTCCTCATCATCAACAGTTCTCCTAATTCTTCTTCTTCTGTGACTCTTCTGTGACAGATGTTATAAGAGAGCGCCCCCTGCTGATTTTCTGATTTTTTTTTTTTTTTAGACTTCTTCTTAAAGCTGGCATCGACATCAACCGAGTGACCAAGGCAGGAACGTCTCTGCACGAGGCTGCCCTCTATGGTAAAACTGAGGTGGTGCGGCTCCTACTGGAGGTAAGTGACAGTGACACCGTTCTTCCCACTCAGTGACAGACGGAGTCCGGCTGTTTGTAAAGACATTGTCGTCACTGGTGTCCTGTCAGGCTGGCATCAACGTCAACATGAGGAACACCTACAACCAGACGGCTCTGGACATTGTCCATCAGTTCACCACGTCTACAGCCAGCAGAGAGATCAAACACCTGCTCCGAGGTCAGAGCACCAACTCAAAGACTCCGCCTCTCTCCGCTTCTGTGTCTGATTCTGGTTCTGGTTCTCTGCAGAAGCGTCCAGTTCTCTCCAGGTCAGAGCAGTGAAGGATTACTGGAACCTTCACGACCCCACGGCCCTCAACCTGCGAGCTGGCGACATCATCCTGGTACAAACTGCCTCCACGTTTGTGTTCACCTCGAACAATTGTTTATTGTTCTATTTATAATCTAAACTAACATTTGATTAGTTGTAGCTAAATGCTAAATGACAGAGGCTAACAGTAAGCTAATATTCCCTTTGTTATTGTTGGTCTGCTAACTGACGAGTCTGAGTTGGTCAGTTGTTCACTTTTAAGTGAAAAGGCTAACTGTTAGCTTCCTGCTCTGACCTGCCTGTCGGCTTCAGGTCTCGGCCTCAGTCTCAGTCTGAGACGTTTTACAGAGACGGCTGTCTGAAGGTGCAGGGAAGTGTGTTCTCTTTGTTCTGAGCAGAAGATCTGAGAAGAACAGGCAGGAACACGCTGCTGTCAACACTCTCATTAACAGACTGCTCTGCTCTGCCATTTTCACACTGCTGCACACACACACACACACACACACACTGTGAGAGCTGTGTGTGTGTGTGTGCGTGTGTGTGTGTGTGTGTGCAGCTCCCTGACAGAGTCACCATGGTTAGTTCTCTCTCTGAGACATTTGAAGGGTTTAGACCAGAACAGAAAACATGGTCTCTACAAGGATCCATCTGACACTACTAAGACTCTGTCCTGTCCTCTCTGTCCTCTCTGTCCTCTCTGTCCTGTCCTCTCCTGTCTTGTGTGACCAGGTCCTTGAGCAGCACTCTGACGGTCGGTGGAAAGGTCACATCCATGACCCTCAGAGGGGGACAGACAGGGTGGGCTTCTTCCCTCCATCAGTGGTGGAGGTTCTGAGCAGACGTTCAGGTAAACTTCTGACTTCTCCTCATCGTGTGTCTGCACACCCCTCCCCCACCCCAGAGTCTGTCCAAATCCACTGAACCAGGACTTTAATCCTCAAAGGTTTTAATCCTGACATGAACAGTTAATGTAGAGCCCACCCCACCCTCCACCCCTCCACCCTCGGTCATGGTCAGAGCTGGGGTAATTATAATCTGTCACATTTCTCTGCCACTGCAGCATCAGCTGAAGGAATGAGCTAATCCATAAACACAGTGAGTGTCAAACAGCAGGGGGAGCTCCGCAGGAGGTTCAAGTGTAGAGAGCTAATGTTTCAGATGAACAGATAAAGAACCCAGAATGTTCTTGGTAGAATCCCAGGCTCAGGGGGTAGAACAAGCTGAAGGAACATCTTTAGAACCTGACGCTGCTGTCAAACCTGAACTTGGTCAAACCCTCACAGTAAATGGACCAATCAGGGTCCAGGTCCGTCACTGCCCTCAGTGACTGTACAATAACACTGTTCATAGATACAGTGTTGATGAAGAAGAAATGTCACCAATTCTTCAGTTTTTTACAAACCTGTGAATGTAACTCCCCCTCAGCTGCACGTGCTCATGCCCTGACTTCTCTCATGCACATTCATGTCCCTCACAGTAGGGGGCACCCTCTCCAGACAAACATCGATGCCATTTCAGAGATTTGCGTCCAGAGCTCCTCCTCCTCCCTCTGGCCAAGGCTCCGCCCCCCAGTCAGACGACTCCTTCACACTGGAGTGTGAACCCGCAGGTACACCTGGACACACACACACACACACACACACACACACACAACTCCATCTCAGTGTCACTTCAATGACAGCATCTTCTCCATCAGTCCTGTAGGGGGTGCCACAGTACACATGATGTATGAGCACAGATTAAAGTGTGTGTGTGTGTATTTATTAGGCCCCCCCCTCAGCAGACAGCTCTCAGCCCCTGTTAGTCCTGCTAGTTCCACTCAGGACATTTGGGTCCTCAGGAGCGCCCCCTCTGGTAAGAGTGCTTGTGTGCCCCCCCCCCTCCCAAACCACAGACTATTTATAAAGAAGTGGACCCTACTAGTACTCATTAACCCTGACCCTGTGTGGACCCTGACCCTGTGTGGACCCTGACCCTGTGTGGACCCTGACCCAGCTCCTGACACCCACACTGCTTCTTGGACCCACCCTTAGGGGCAGTGGTGGCTTGGTGGTTAAGGAAGGTTTCAGGTTCGAGTCCACCAGCTGCCAAGTTACCACTGAGGTGCTCTGAACATGGCACTTTCCCCACACTGCCCCCTGCTGACTGTGGTGATGGGTGAATTTGGTTGTGTGCAGTGGCTGTGTGATGGACTGTGAGAGTTGATGTGACTGAAGTCTGATTGGACACCTGAACTCTTCTGGCTCCTCCCCCTCTCCTGTCTAACCCTCCTATTTGTGTCAGGTGACAGGACCAGTGTGGGCAGCGTGGGCAGCGTGGGCAGCAGCCGCAGTGCCGGCAGTGGTCAGAGTTCAGAGAGCAGCCACAAACACAACAACAGTCAGAGTCGACACAACGACAACAACAATGGAAAAGTACACTCATTATTATTGTTCTTATCGTTGTTATTGACACTAATGTCAAACAAATTATTAAGTAATAATTACTAAATTATTATTATTATTGTTTCATTGGTGTATCATTGACAACAGTCTCACACACCGACTGTGAGCTGTCAGTCAGACTCTGTGGTCTATTGATTATAAATACATCCATCAGTTAAACAACAATATATTTCACTGTAACTGTGAATATATTTAACAATATAAACTATAAGGTTCATATTCCCAGATTTCTAAATCCTCTTTTTCTCCTCGTTTGCAGCTGGCGCCCTCTGCTGGTGGGTCAGCGGACCAGCTACAGACTGCGGCAGACCACAGCCAGCAGCTAGACGGACCAGCAGGTCAGTGGAAGAGATTCATCACGTGACCCAGTTGAGAAGTTTGTCTGAAAATGTTCTGACAACAGACCAGAATTAGTCAGAACTTTAAATGTTGACAGTCTGGACATTGAGGAGGTTCTTCATCACAGTTACTATCAGTGGAACACTGTGGTTCTCAGTCAGAGAACATGCCCCTCACTTTTATTTTATTTAACATCAACTTACGGTCCAGTGATGATGTCAGCCGAACTTCTGTCCAATCAGGTGAAGGAGTGAAATAAGCTGTTTGTATGTGTGTGTGTGTGTGTGTGTGTTTTCAGGTGGATCTCAGCGACAGTTGAATGGATGTCAGAGAAGTTTGATCAGACCAGAGCAGCTGCTGGAGGGGAAGGTGAGGAGATGATGATGGCAACCTTGGTAGTTGTTGTTGTTGATGGTGTTGTTGTTGTTGTTGATGATGGTGTTGTTGTTGTTGATGGTGTTGTCGTCTGTTCTCAGGACTGTGACGCCATCTACCAGTGGTTGTGTGACTTCCAGCTGGAGCAGTACACCTCTAACTTCATCCTGGCAGGATACGACGTTCCCACCATCAGCAGGATGACACCTGAGGTGTGTGTGTGTGTGTGTGTGTGTGTGATCAGCCTGTGTTACAGTACAAAGTCCAGCCTCCTGACTTCCTGTCTCCTCCAGGACCTGACGGCCATCGGGGTGACCAAACCAGGTCACAGGAAGAAGATCTCCCTGGAGATCAGCCGGCTGAACATCCCTGAGTGGCTGCCAGATTATATTCCTGTGAGGAAAACACCTTTTTTTCCACTGAATTAAAAAATCCTTCTTTTGTGGTGATGATGACAAACTCTGCTCCTGTCTGTGTGGTGGTGGGGGGGGGGCAGTCTGACCTGGGGGAGTGGCTCAGTGTGATCGGACTCCTTCAGTACCAGAAGAGACTGTGTGACAATGGCTACGACTCCATCTCCATCGTCAAGGACATCACCTGGGAGGACCTGCAGGAGATCGGCATCACCAAACTAGGTGAGAGGTCGGACCAGGTGTCCAGAGACCAGGAAATAAATAAAAATAAAAAAAGTCAAATGGACTTCCTGTCCTGACTGTGTCCTGTCTGTCCCAGGTCACCAGAAGAAACTGATGCTGGCGGTGAAGAGACTCAGTGACCTGCAGCGTTCTCGGAACAACGCCGAAAGATCGGGAACCCTGCGGAGGAGACCGCCCCCTGCTGCCCTGGAGCTGGTGGCCATTGAACACCCTCCCACACCCACTAGTACTCACACACACTCAGACACAGCAGAGGACAACTGTTGCCCCTCCCCCCGCACCCCCAGGGCCATGATGTCTTTCCAGGACAGCGAGCTGAGCGCCGAGCTGCAGAGTGCCATGATGGGCAGGCCGGCGGTGGAAGCGGGGGGAGGAGCAGGAGAGGCCTTTGGTCTCAGGGGCATGAATCTGGCCGCGGCCACGTCGGACAGTCAGGACAGCTTCAGCGTGAGGTCACGTGGGTCAGGGAATTCTGGGAATTCAAACTCGGGGTACTCACAGGAGCAACAGTCGACACCAGGCTCTGCCAGAACCTCTAACCAATCCCAGGAAAACCTTGGGAGCGGAGGAGGAGAGCGAGGAGGAGGCAGTCCTGGAGGCAGAAGAACCATGGAGATGTGGGAAAACCAGAGCCCCAGCAAAGTCTCCTCCACCCCCTCCTCCACGCCTCCTCTGACGCCGAGTAAAGTTCCTCGCTTCGGCTACCCAGCAGTCCCACTAAAGTCCAAACACTACCAGTCCACCCGACTCTTTCAGACCCAGAACCACCCACCGCCCTCTCCTTCCTTCAGTCCCTCCCCCACACCAAAGACCTTCACTTACCTCCAACCTCAGACAGGTGGCGCTCCTCAGGTACACTCCAAACCTCTCCCTGTGATGGAGCCCCCTACTGGACAGACACCAGCCAATGAAACTCACAGGGCGCCACAGAAGAAACGCACTCAGAGTCTCACCCGCTACGCCCTTTCTGATGGGGAGCCGGATGAGGATGACGACATGGCGTCGCCCTCCAACTCTGCGGCCTCTGTGGCCATGCCGTCGTACGCCACGTTGTCCCGTAGGACAGGACGTGGAAACACCGTCACCACCGGAGGTCACAGGAGCCTGAATCGCAGCCAGTCTTTCGCAGTGCGCTCCCGACGCAGAGGCCCGCCCCCTGCCCCACCCAAGAGGATGAGCTCGGTCAGCGGCGGTCCGACACCACCCGTGGAAGGCAGCCAGGAGGTGGCGATGAAAGCAGGAGTGAAGGTGGAGAACACAGGAAGTGTGAGAAGCATCGCAGCCAAGCTTGACGGGAGCATCGGCTGCAGTCCATCCAGGAGAACCAACGTTCCTCCACCCACCGCCCCGCGTTCTGTCGCCTTCACTCCGAGCTGCTCCACAATTCCAAACAGAATTCCATCACATGTGGTCCCTCATCCTGACACACCTGTCCCCATCCTGGGCCTCAGCGGCTTCAGAAGAACAGGAAGTTGGAGGGCAGAAGGTCATGTGATCAGACCCGGAAGTGGACGCTCAGAGGAGACACCTGCGGACCAGGACAGGGACGGTCAGGGACTGTCAAACAGTTCCTCCGCTGCTCCAAAGAGGAGCTCAGGTGATAATCTGCCTTTTGCTGAGGAGGGAAACCTGACCATCAAACAGAGACCCAGAGTTCCCCTGGTTACCCAGGCCGACGGAGAGGCCAAGACTCCAGAGGACCAGGTCCAGACTCCAAACGGCCTGGACGTTCCAGAGTTCAACCTGAAAGAGTCCGACACTGTGAAGAGACGCCACAAACCCAAAGACAAGGAGGTGTCCTCCCCAGAGGAGGCGTCTTCACCAGAGGAGGCGTCTTCACCAGAGGAGGCGTCCTCCCCGTCCAGAGAGGAGCTCCGTGGCCAGACGCCGGAGCTTCCTCAGATTAACGTCTTCCAAAGGGTGGGTTCTGTGGGAAGAGGTCCAAAACCGCCGGTGCTGTCAAAGCCTTCAGGTCCAATCAGACCCGCTCCCAACGGCGAACCGACGTCACAGTCCTGTTCTCAAAGCAGAATTCCTAAACTGACCGGTGTTCAGATCCACACGGTGTCACC